ATGCTACCTTAAATTTGACCCCCGCGTGGCTCACAAAAGGTATGCTATCTTGGAATTGAGCTTGCACTGGGGCCTCCTCCGTGCTGTGTATGTGTGTGTGAGTGTGTGACTGTGTGGCTGAGACCGACTCGAAATGCACACAAAGCAGGACCAAGCAGGACAATCGGACCTAGGTTCATGAAGAATTCTGGATGGGCTGAGTCGTGTGAAGGGTTTAGAATGGTTCTTTGCCACGCTCAACTCATCTGAATCTGAACTCAAGCTCGGGACGAAGCAGAAGGAAGCAGAAGATGCAGGTCCGGTTTCACGGTGAGGGTGAAGAAAGACCGCCCTTCGCTTCAAAAGAAAAGACCCGACCTTGCAGCCTGTTTGCAGTGAGCGAGACTGGGCAGGAGGGCGGAGAGCGGCTGAGCGCGGCTCCCAATGAAAAGCTCAAAAGCTCAACCCTCCGTCGTGAAAGCTCACGGAGCTCGGATCACGGTCATGTGGTTTCACGGCGCGGGTTCCGCGGAAACGGCGCCAGGTTTGGGCCTATCGAGATTATTTGCCCATGGAGCTGGCTGGGAGCTCCGGAGGGGCAGGGCAGGGGTCAACGGTCAACTGCTTTTTGAGGGACTTCGCACATCTTTCTCACCCAAGTCTAACCAAGCTTGTGGATACCTGATGGACCTTGCACCCCTCCATCTTGAGATGGTCACATCCGAGAGACTCAGACACCACGTGGCACAAACTCCAATCACTACGTAGTTCAGGATAGTGCGTGGCTGATGTTTGTGCAGCTTGAGGAAAGCCGGGTAGGCAAACGTCATCAGGTTCAGCCACTTCGACCTCAAAACAAATCCCCCTACCGAATGATAGAGAGCTGTTTCAGCACGTGGGGCCGGATAGTGCGGTGATCATTGAAGGCCCAGGCGCCCAGCCCCCAGAGGAGACATGCCACCTGACCTGCAAAGATAGATCCCGGGTTGGTTGAGCCCATGGCCAAGGCCATGAGTCGGAAGGTCATGCCTGTTTTTCAGCTTTACTCTTGGAGTAAGGTCTTGTTGTGGCGCTCAACGATCATGATCACGCATTGAAAATGAAGTGGGCCCCCTCTTTCCTCCCACCCAAGTCTAACCAAGGGGGTTGGCAGAAGGGATCCTAGAAAAGGCACATCCAAGAGACTCGGACAGATGAAAGCTCCAAACGGGCCATATTCCAAGGGAAATGCTTTGGAACTTTGGAAGGCGTGTGATCGTTGGATGGGCTCTTAGCTTAACTGCCGTGGCAATCAAAAACCAAAAGCCTGGGCTGGCCATCACACCGAGAACCAGTTGAAGTGCTTGAGAGGCTTGCTGGGTTTCAGCGAGGCGAAACCCAGGGAAACCCAACCAACAGTGACACCTCGATCATTGCCGGGCACGTGCCATCCACAAGGCACCAACGCCCACATTCTTGCCACTTCGCAAGGTTTTCCAACCAACTCCATAGAAGTACCGCATTGTACCAACAAACAAGTTGTCGCGTCAATTTCAGCCGGAGGGGAACGATTTTGGTTGTCCCTCACGTGCAAGACAGCAACATAGTTCAGCGTTCTGCAGTTGGTTTGGCCGATGTTTGTGCAGGCACCAGCCACTACCCCCAAATGGATTGGTGCATGGGCTTAAAAGATGTGTGAAACACATATTCTCAGGTTAAACCATATGAACATTACCAAAAATACTGAGTGGGGTGCACTCGTATCGCATGTTTTTGATGAACAAACTTCGGGTGCCTGCACCACGGATTCTGGAGTGCGACAAAGTGATTGTGAGACTACTGTTTTCATCATCTCCAGGTTTGTGCGCCACTGATAGGGACCGACCCAACTACCGATACTCCGTATTTGTATGGAGAAAATGAGTGCCAAGCACACAACAATTAGACGCTGATAAAGGAGAAGGGCCGAACTGGATTCACCCTTGACAGGGCAAAACAATTGTGGCGTCCGCCGTGGATGATGGGCGTCCAGGGTTTGGGCCATGAGTCCAGCCATGATGAGAGTGAAGAGAATCGCCCACTCGAAGCATCAGGTCAATGACACAGGTTCCAAAGTGACAGGCATGGCCATTGGGACTCTTCCATGTGATGTTGGGAGTCAGAGCAAAGCAGTGGTTTCGGAGGTTTTCGTCTGGCACAATCCCCCAAGTTTGGTTTCATATCTACCTGGATCTTCCGATGCAAATGCAAAGAACTTCCTATTTTGGTCAGGCCAGGAGCCCCGTTCGTAGCTTCCTTGTTCCATGTAGTGATGCCCTTTGCTCCGGACTCGTCGCTTCCTCGCCGACCTGCCGATGCGCTGAGGCGAAGCTTCCGGCCACCGCGGAGGCGAAGCGGCCCAAGGGCTGGGGGCGGGGTGGACGGACACACTTTTTGAAGTGGTCCCCAAATAGAGAGGACCAAACGGTGTCCAAGAGCTTTTGGTGTAGGAATTCTGCTTTTTCGATCTATTTGGGGGTCTTTTTAATTTTCGATCTATTTGGATGTGAAAGATGGGTCGTGACCCCAACCACCTGGTAGCGTTTGTAGCATCCACCATGTAGTGTCCACCTGTAGCGAAAGACCTTCCATCTCGTGACGCTCGTGCCAAGTTGTGCCAGCTCTGTGGCACCAGTGGTTTGGGAGCAGGCAGCAGGAGTGATCGAAAAGAAGAACGTCTTTCTTTTGTGCGCTGCTGTCCGAATGGTGCCCCCATTAACCTGCAACATTGCAGCAGAATTGAAGGTCCACGTGTGTGACAAGCCGTTGGACGATGACTGGCCGAGAAGAACGAGAAGAGCTTAGCACCTCGAAGTGGGTGGAGATAGCCATATATTTGTGACTCGGCTACGACGCCAGGTGAACTGGCCAGGCTGTGAACAGCCTGGCAGAACCTTCCACAAAGAAGGGTTTCGGTGGCTTCAGCTACCTTCTTATCGAACACCCTGCTTCTCACAGAAACGTTTTTTCTTTGTTTTTGATGCCATCCCTAACCATCTTTGGTTACTTGCAGTGTTTTCAACTTCTTCTCAAGGTCTTCAACTGCAAGTTGGCCGTGCTTTACTTGTTTTACTTTAGGTGTTCAATACCCAGTTGCTCAGATCTTTGACTCACCTCTTCAAGTCTGCCACTTGGACAGACTTCCAGCCCTCTCCAGGCTTTCGCGCCCCGGCGCACGCGGAAGGAGCGTGCGAACACCATGGCGAGTCCGGGACGCCCGGGCGACGCGTTCGCCTTCGTTTTTCGATCGCGCCGGGATCGCGTGGGCTCGGTGGGTTGGACCACCCGCGGGCTCGGTGGGTCGTGCGGGACTCAGTTTCATTTTCATTCTCGCACGACGTAGATGCTTCTGAACGTCCTTGAACACGTGCGATAGGAAGTGGGTCAAAACTCTCGAGGCCGATGGCCGGACACGGAACGAAGTCGCAAACTTGAAGTAGGAGAAAGAAAAGCAGTTTTTTCACCAGTCAAATGACGCGACAGTGTTTACAGTTTGGTTGGCTGATGCTGCAAAATCCATTGCCTCTTGATTTTCAGTTTGGTTGGCTTCCAGGTTGCCAGAACTACAACGTGTAGATGTACCTTTTCAAGACTGCGTGTCTTCACGCGGTGTGCATTTTGGAGGTGGTTGGTTCCTCGGTTCATGTGCGACCAATCCGGACCAATCAGCAGAGACGAGAGATCATCCCAAGTAGATCGAGCAAGGACAACCAATCAACTACTCAGCAAACCAGCCAACCAACCAATCAACCAAGAAAACGGCTGAATATCGGGTTGTTATGATCATCTACCTCTTAGAAGAGTGAACACAGATCAATCAATTCAACTGAACACGATATCATCACCACCTCTTTGGGAGTTGGATTTCGTGATCCTTTTGGCCATGCTCATCCAGCAAATCCACGTGGTTACGTGATGGTGAACATGGGAGAATATCCTGCAATGACACCAATGGAGGCGGCTGATTCATAAACCAATGGGCTATTTTCATTTAAAGAATCCATGTAACCATGATTCTTTCAGCTCATTTTTTCTGATATGAGGAGCGATCGGACGCTACGAACGGGCTCCTGGCCTTACTACGAACGGAGCGATCGGACGCTGTGAAGCGAAGGCTGTGAAGCTCTGTAGGTCAGATCTCACTTTTTCCCACGTCCCGTGACACGTGGCGCCTACGGATGCTGAGGAGAGCTGAGCTCGCAAGACGATCGGCGCCTACGGATGCCGGGTCCACAGAGGGGAAATCACTTGGAGCATGGGGATGTTCATGGCACTGAAGCATGTGACATTACCCAAACACTCCATGTATGGTATGCCGATCAGCTGAGGTACTTTGAGGGGTCAATTGATCGGCATATATGGCAGTCCCATGGAGTGTCTGGGTTATGGAGATGTATTTGGATAGGCAAATCCCGCTGGCCGACTGGTCCATTTTTCTTCTTCTAGGGGGGTCGAAGTGGGAGAGCCAGAAACGCATTTTTGAACCCAGAAGAACATGGGATGCGGTCGATGAGCCGGCGCAAATTCAAGAAGACACCGGATGATTTATATGGGTTGATAGTATGTGAAGTTGTATTGTTGAATAGTCAGATTATAAGTTAAAGACACCAGATCACAGTATGGGTTTGTTGAAGTTGTGACGCTGATCTGTACGTTTTCACAGTTTCGTGTGCAACGACACCATTTTTTAGATCGCCAGAGGAAACCATGTGACGGGCAATGCGAGTCCAACTCCAGCGCCAGCCCGAGCAACGAGTAAAAACTGCGAAATCCTATCTGTGCACTGGCGGATTGGTACCCTTGCGGGGATCAAAATTGGTACCCTTGGAATCATTCCATTGGAATATGAACAAATTCCTCAAGACTCTTTGCCTGTTTGTGGCACAAAGCGTGCCACATGCTTGTCTTCTGCTTTGCCTTCTGCACATGAATGGTGGTGAATATGGTGTGGATGTGAGGAGTATCCATTTAACCTGTGATGTCCTCAATCCATGTTGGTCGCAGCTTTCTGCAACAATGCAGCCGTCAGTTCTGCACACAGATCTGTCTGATTCTTCAGCTAGATCACTCACAGGCCACCATTTGACCGATCCGCCGTTGACCACTTTTCGGCAGGTAAGCTTTTCGGGTTTCGGGAACGTCACCCTCTGGTCTGGTGGTCAGAACCAATGATTCATTGATCGTTACGGCAGAGACGACGAATGGGAACGTCGACGGATCCCCCAACACGGATCCCAAAGCGCCCAGCTCGACCGATCCCAATCCATCACCAAAGCAAAACCGGCGTCCTCAGAAAACTCTCCGATCTGTCTCCTGGCTGTGACCCTAAACCCGTGAAGAAGCACGACGCGGTTCGTTTGAAGATCGAGACAACTTGAGATCAGCCGAGCGCGTCTCCGCCGCATCCTGCGGCGCGGAGGCTCTGTTTGACCTGGAATGTGGGCGCCACGCTGCCGCAGCGGGGCGCCTCACTGGAAGCGGTGCTGGATGAGGCCCATGGAAGCCGTGATGAGTCCGGTGGTCGGATCCGGTTGGATCGCAGCGCTCGCCACGCGCGACACCACCACGACCTGCCACACCACCACCACGACTCGCCACATGCGACAAGCTCACAAGATGCACGTGATGTTTTGGGTGGTGAGAGAGAATTTGGATTCAGAATTGGTTGGGTCAAGCCATCCAAAAAAAAATAATGCTTTTGCATGCTTTTGCATGAGTCCTGTCCTGTGGCAATTTTTGCTTCATCCACAGTCTAGAGTTGACACCCTGTTCGTAAAGGACAGTCGTCTTCCTTACGGGACCATGCGATCCACTTCCACCATGTGATGTGAGACAGTCAGAGTGTGGGCTGGCCCACCTCCTCAGGTACGGACAGACTTGGAGATGTCGAAGCATTCTGAGGTAGTTTTTTGAATCAGCATTGAGACGTTTGATCCTTTTTGGGTAGCGACATCTTGCCATGGCTTCGCCTCATTGACTCATCAGACAGGATCCCTCGCCAGATATTTGCGTCATCGGCTTCCAAGAGACGCCCGGGACCCAAAGAGGTGGAGCAGAGGTGGGGAGAGAGTGGCGCAGATGTGGAAACAGTCCCAACAAGTTTGAAGCCAAACATGGCAGAGCTCGTGTCGTTTTGCTGTTTCCTGTGGTACTTCCGTGTCAAACAGACTGGTCAAGCATCACCAGTCTCTTGTTTGTCCAGCTTCCACTTAGCTGTGTGGGATAGTCGGAATAGGATGCAAAGAGGAGACCATGTGACATTTTTCGCTTCTGAAGCATGTGACCATGTGTTCTTGAATAGTATTCGACCTAGCTGATCCTGGCTAGGCTGTGCCAGCCTGGTCTAGTAGTTCCTAACCTCCCAGGGGGTCGGGATGCCTGGGACGTCCGTCCGAGGTGCCAACTGTCGGCGCGGAGGTTGTTGGCCGATGGCACCGAGTGGAAAGACTGGCAGAAGTGGGTGATTTGGCCCAGAATCGCTGAAGTGATAAAGTGGGCCAGTGGGGAAAACCACCTTCTTCCACCTTCTTCCTCCTTGGCAAGTGGGCAAAGCTTGTGATTTTGCCCAGAATCCTTGTGATGAAAACGGTAAAAAAAGGCATGGCCAGTGCAAGAAAGGGCGCATGAACCCCACAAAGGGTATTGGCCTGCACCAGGTGATAGAATTTGGGGTGATGGGTTGATAGTAGATGACTAGGATGGGGAGAGCCATTGATGACCAGAAACAGCCAAGAAAGCTGGTAGGTGAGGACTTCCTTTCTTTTTCTTCCAACAGGCCATGTTGTGCAGTACTTGACCATCTCTAGACTCTAAACTCTAGATGATGTATAGATTGGGATCCTGAACCGCTCTTCACTCGAACATTGACAAGACGAACCCGCTCCGGATCGCTCCGCCTTCGGTCCTTCCTGGCTCCTTTCATGCGGTGCCGTGCGGTGCCGGGTGTGTCTCCGCTGCTGCCGGGTGTCGTGGACAATGCCAACCACGGCGTGTTGGTCGTCCGAGAACGTCGTGGTCATCCTTTTGGGGCCATGGCATCCACGTAGCCATGATGACGAGCAACAAAAAGTGTATGACGAGCAACGACACTCATGCAGAGAGGCTGATTAAAAACCCCCCTCCGTATGAAGAGGTGTTTTTTAATCCATGTTTGGGTGAATCACAAAGATTCCACACCCATGACACTAACATACTCATGACACTTCCAGTCTTTAGCGAGGATTGTAGACCGTTGAGTTTGGACATCGAACGCGGCTGCTCCACCTTCGAAAACACCCGGCTGCCGTCAGTTCACTACATCAAACATCCCGCTTCTCCTTTGCGGACGAATCCGGACGAAGCCGAGCGATCCGGGCGAAGCTTCGCTCTTTGAGCCACAGAGACGTTAGCCAGACCTCATGGGTTCACCCGTTTCTCCCTGGTTTCTCCAGGGTTTGGCTCCCTGCCTCCTTCAACTCAGGCGGACCAGAGCGTGAAGGATGCCAGGGGACCCCGGGGAACCGGACCCCGGGAGCAGAAGTTCACGGTGAGTCGTTGGAGTTCGACGTCCGCAACGGCCCCGGTTGGGACTTCCGACAAGCTTCGAAGCACCACTCGAGACTTTGAAGACTTCACCTTTTCGTCGCTTCAACTGGTTGGTGGATGAGATTGGATGAATGAGACGGTTTCGTGACCACGTGGTGCGAAACAGCGGTGGATGAGTGCCTCTCCGAAAGAACGCGGCTAGTTGGACTGTGAGTGCCTCTGCCATCGCCATTGGAGCAGTTCTTTGGATCCGTCTCGACGAGTCCGTACGGCGTTTTCCGGTCGCAGTGTGGCTGCCACACGCCGTGTGGAACTTCGGAGAGGGGATCCATGAGGGTCAACACATCGTGGATGGCACCTGGAGCAAACATCTCCAAATTCTGGGGGCGGTGGGACCTCCTCTCTATAGTACGTGGTCTATTTTCTGTTCATGTTCGGTGGGAACGACCGGTCGATGTCGCCATGATGCCAGACGCTGTTCGGTTGAGAGTGGATGGAGAGGAGGCCCTCTTGAGGCTGATTTTGGAGGATTGAGGCCACAGGTTTTGTTCACGTTGGTGGGTTGATCTTCGGTTTTTGACCCTCCCAACGTCCTCCCAACGTCCTCATGGAGCATCGTGGATGGCACCACGGCGCCTGGAAAGACCATGAAATCCTCATACCAACAGGTGGTTTTCACTCCACTGAAGGGAGGGTTTGCTGAAGGGAGGGTATATGTCATGAAAAGCTGCAGCACGCAAACCGCAAGTTTCCACAAAACATCTCTTGCCGCCCGCCAAACCGCGCCTTTGCTTATAGCGTGAGATTCACCCAGCCAAGCATTCAAAGAGAGCCAACAAGTAGGTATATACGAGCCAAGCGTCCGGAAGCCCATGGAAGTCCACGACTTGTGGGCAACTGGTGGGGAAGAGCCCAGCCAACCATTTCCACCTATTTAAGGGGCTGACCACCACTAGCCCTGATCAGATCTAGGGAAGATCGGCCAAAGCCGATCGCCAGGACCGAAGATCGCTCATCGCCGCACGAAGATCAGACCGATCTCCAATCACTCAGAGCTCTGCCCGACCGGTGCGAAGCTACGAACGAAGAAGTCCAACTCAAGCCGGTAGAGACTCCGAAAGAGATCCAAACACCTAGACAGCCTAGACATCTCACATCGCCTCACGCCCTTCAAATAGCTTTCCCACCTCACCCAGCACCTCCAGTCAACCACCTCTCAAGCCCCACCCATCCCACCGGCCGCACCTCCCGCCGCATCCCACCCGCCAAAACCGCGTTGACCGCGAGCCGCTCGATGGCTCATGGGCTGCAGCTCCTCTGCCGGTCGAGGCGAGGTCTCTTTGGGGTGTCGGGGCAGATCGCTCAGTGGAATTCCGCCGCTCACCACATCGTTTCGCCACATGGCTCGACACAGCTCGGATGCCGAGCTCGCTCGCGAGCGAACCTGGCAGGGGGTTTTCCAGTGAATCCAAGAATCTCAGTTTTTGGAGTTGAAGAGTTGGGACGATTTTGTGTGATTGTGGATGATCCACGGAGCTTTTTTTGGATGTTTAGGTCTGGTGCCAAAAGCGCATCTTACTCCAGCATTTTGCGGGCTAAACTGATGAGAAGTACACCACGTGTTTAACTGTTAAACACTGTTAAACACATCTGCCATGTTGCTGCCATGTTGGTTTGGTTGTTAACTACGTGCGCAACGACGTGCCACTCGATTTGACCGAGTACAGCCCGGCTAACCGCATGGGAGGCACCAATGCTCAACACGACGTGCCTTGGCGCCAGCGACTGCGGCAGGATTCGTGTTTGTTTTGGAAGGGAGTGTTTTATGTTTTAAATGGATGTTGTTTTCTTGGCATGAAAACACAGATCCTTCGGCAAGGCTTTGGATATATATTATCTATATCTGGTCCATACGCCTACAAATCTATTCTGCATTCTTCTAACCTATATGATACAGGATTCACTCAGTCCATTTGACTTACTGACACTGGTTTCGAAACCGCGGCTTTCCCCCACCAGGTCCGCCCCAACCGCGGTCCGGACAAGTGCATCACCCGCGTCACTGGCACTCGGATTGGGGGACTGGGGCATACACGTCCCACTGAATTTCCACTTGGATATTCGTTCGGGGTTCTTGGATGAGCATTTTCAAAGACATATTGTGTGGAGGTGGAATGTTCAGGAGCTTCCTCGATGCTTGAACCCGTTGTGACAAAACAAACCCCACGGTTTGGAGACATCCAACATTTCACAAAGGAGTGGTTTTAGCCTCTATTTGTGCATCATTGGGCACCCCTAAACTGCTGGACACGTTTGCAACAGATGGACCGTTCTCTAGATGCGACAGTGGCATCATGCGACAGGGGCTGCTTCTTCGCCATCGGCATCCCGTGCAATTTGAAGTCATCCCTCAGTGTCAATCAGTCACCAAACCACCGGAAGGACACCCTGATGAGTGAGAGCCAAACAAGTCTATTTTTCTTTATTAAATTGCCAATGAATTGGTCAAAACATTATTTAACAGTTGACAGTAGAGCACTTCTTTGTATAGCCATTGTCTATCAGCTTCCTGATGCCATGGCCGCCATGGCTGCAGATGCTTTATCATCCTCGGACCTGGACGCCGTAGCTGCCGTGCACGCGGCAGATGCCACTGTAGCGGACACGCACGTGAGGGTGGCTGTGCAGAGCCTGGGTGGAGAGGTGGGCGATGAGAAGGGTCGCAACGAATCCAGAAAAAAAGGCACAGAAACACGTATCAGATTTCCTGTGACATGTGAGCCATTCGAAAAACCTTCCTGTTCATATTCACTCAGTGCGTTGTCATATCGATGTTGTGCGTAAGCAAAACCTGCACGCGCGTAAGGTTGCGTAAGCTTGTTTAAAGGAAACCTTTTGCGTAAGCCATGCGTAAGCTCCGAAGAAATACATGAGAAATGCATGAGCACCCCTCTCAGAAGTGCCAGGATCAAGGAACAGTTCAACTCCACACACATACACATTCCAAACTCGAATTGCTGAACACACACAGTCCAAAACACCACAGCTGAACAGTCAAACCTCCATGTCAGACATGAGAAACTCCAGGTGATTTTTGTATATTTTTGTGAGTTCCGGCGCGTAAGCTCTGCGTAAGCTCCGGTGTCCTTTCCACCAGTAGCCCACATGCCTCCTTCTCCGAACCGTTGCGTCAGCGGCAGCGTGTGGTTGAAGACCTCTATTATATATATATATATTACTTATATTACAATGTGGTTTGCGCGCATCGCCCTTCCACTTCCACTTCTCCACTTCCTGCTGCTGCTTTTGCTGCTGCAGGTCTGCTGCAGGTCTGCTGCAGGTTTGCTGCAGGTCTGCTGCTGGTCTGCTGCTGCTGCTGGGTTGCTTCTGCCTTCGAGTCTTCTTCTTCGTCCTCATCCTCAAGTGCTTCTTGAGCATCCATATCGGAAGCTTAGGTGTAGTAGATGTCCATTGTACATTGTACATAGTATGCAGCGCGTAAGCTCGCGTTGTGGTGTCAGCTGCATTTTGTGCAAAACAGGTGTCGCGTAAGGTCTGCGTAAGCCTTTCTTGCTCCAAGTGCACTGCGTAAGCAAAGATGTGAGTCGCGTAAGGCAGCGTAAGCACAGGCGTAAGCACAATGATACGACATGGGATTTCATCAAGGTTTTGAGAACCGCTCATGTGATCATGATGATACATGATGATACGTGAACCTTGGTCCTTTTTTGTGTTTTCATTTATCCATCATCCCAAGCCGGCAGGGTTAGCCGCCGCGGCTCTTTGCTCGGTCAAGGCGGTGGCATGTCTTGAGCGACCTTTGGAGAGCTGCGTGCTGGACCTGAAAGGCGAGCGGCGAGCTGTTTTGTGGGATGCAACTGTGGGGGTGGATGTAAAAATCCAGACCGAAGAAGCATGGCAAACATAAATGGAAACTCATCAAGTCAAGATTTTTTTTTGGGACTCGATTTCTATAGCAAGGATCTCTTGTGACGAGCTTCTGGCATGGTTGAGAGTGGGATTTTCGATTGGCGCAGCTCCGCAGCGGTGCTGCGGTGCAGTGCGAACCGGTGCAGAAGCTGTCGGTGAGTTCGGAGCTTCGTGTCCCGGTGGTTTTTCTTTTTTTCAGGTTGGTCTGAGGGATTCGTCTGACCCCCAAAAACATCCGTAACTTGACTCCTTTTACTCCACCTGGTAGTCATAATTGACCACTACCATAGCGGTAAAATGAGTCATGACTGGACTATGGTTAGTGTCCAGCTCCAGCTTGCTTCGCAGTGTCCAGCTTGGAGCCTATCAGCTCCAGCTTTTCCCATCAATCTGGTGGGCCAGGTGGACGGGTACAACAAACTGAAAGGAAGATGCCGTACAAGTAAAATCCTTCTTGGAATGATGTTAGCTTGCACAAAGCTTTTGCTGATGCTTATGATGTTTCGTTGTTTCAATGCATCACTAGCACTTCGTGTAGAATGGTTTGCATCAAGTCACTTGCATCTTGGGCATACTTGGACTGTGAATGCCTAGACATGAGAGACCCTACAAGGCCTTGTAGATCGAATTGTAGGGACCGTTCTCTGCTGAGTTACGATCAGTTTCTGTTCCTTGTGACACCTTCCACCTTCCGCCCTCAATCTGTCCATCAATCTCAATGTATCTCAATGTCTTAATGTCTCTCTCTCTTCCAACTCCTGGATGACCGTAGCAACACATCACATGGAAGTGAACGTTCACCGTTTGTAAAGGAAAGTCGTCGTAACCAAGCGACCATGCCATCCACGTAACCACCATGTGATGTGTTCGTCACAATTTATCGGTTGTTTACGCGCTCCCTCCCTCAGTACTCGACCGATGCAGGTGCCATTCAGTGTCACTCGACCGCGCGTGTGGCTCCGGTGCTTCAGCACTTGATGCACGGAGAAGTTGTGTTGAAGGACAAGCAGACCCTGAAGGAGCTGTCAGACTTGCAAACACACGTTTACGTTTCTGCTGCGTGTCTTCCTAGACGCGTGACTTGAAGGGAACATGTTACTGTTCAATGTTGAGAATTGACATGTTCATGCTTGCATATAGAATGATCTTAGTGGTCACCTTTCAAGTACTCTACACATTTCTATATTGCCCTCTGGACAGCTCCCACCCACCGGCATCTTAAAAAGGAATGATAGGCAATGAATGGCAGCTGAAACTAGAGGAGCGTCAGGGCACTAGTAGTAAACCCGGGCGTAGAATATTGAAACTTTCAAACCTTGGCGGCCAAAAGTTGCATTTTCTCACTTCCAAATCTTGAAACCTTGGGGGTCACTACTAACCTTGAAACTTTCAATTTCATGAGGCCAAAGATCCAAATTCATCCAAATTCCAAAATGGAATCTCTTCATTTTTTCACTACATTCCGCTGGCTTAGCGGATGCCGTTCATCCTTCGGTGACACCTTATTGTTTGTAAATACAATCTGTGGGACATCTTCCGCTGTAGGGGATCGTTTTCAAACAATCTTCGTTCTTGTTTTCTTGTTCAGGGTACCTCTTAATAACGACAGTCCTTTTTTAATGACAAAAGGAGCCCTCAGGCATCTTCTTGTTATCAAATCTTCTTGCTTTTCTTGACTCCTCCCAGAGTGGGGGGGGGCATGGGGGTTGACCACCCTGAGCGCTTTAGGTTTGGGTGGTTGGGCCAAGCGTACGCTGCGCATAAGTTTTTGCCGAAACTAAAGAGGATTGGTTAACGGCATTCTGGGAAGAGATGCACCAAAACACAGCCTCAACATTCTTTTCAGATTTTAAAGCAACTGTAGGGAGGAGAATCACGGACCTCCTCAGAATACTGAATAGCAAAGAGAGAGCTCAAGTTTAGAGTTTCTGACTGCCAGTGTCAGGAGCTGAACAGCCACAAATTGACAAACCAATCAGTTAGGAACTATCGCATCAAAACAAGTCTTTCTATATTAGGATTTAGCCAAGGAGACCTTAGAGCACCGACATGTAGCAGGGAGAGAGCTCAAGTTGGACTGAGTTCTTGGCCCAGAAAGGGACGGGACGGTCCAATTCCACCTTGGCGGTGTTTCAATCCTTGGCGGGAACAGGGCTTAAGTGGCTTCCTTTCATGACTTAGATGTGTGCCTTGAGGAGCTCCCCAAAGATCTCTGGTGGAAAAGAACCTCATGAGACGCTAACCACGAAACGTGGATAACCTTAAATAAACCTTTTGGGGGGGCTTGGTTTTCCACCAAAAGCGAACAGCTGGAAGTTATGGTGGAAGCAGGTTAAAACTGGCCCAGGAAAGAGGACATCAATTCAGTTCAACCAAGTGTTTTTGTTGGAGCCAATCACTTGCACGTGGCCCCTGCTTCTTCACCTCTCATTTTTACCTTATCTTCAGGAGCTTGGCTTTGTGGGCACAGTCACGGTCACCTTAATCGTGAAAAACTTGGACGTCGACGACTATATCGACAGGTTGTTGAATCAGAATGGCAGTATTGAGAGATTCTCGTCGAATGTGGTCGAATGTGTCAGCTGGATGTGGGTCGAAACACGCGCCACAAGAAAGCTTGAAAGGAGGCCTTCCTCAAAAACACCCAACAGCCTGGTAGCTCTGTGACCAGCCAACAAAATTGCTGCATGAACGCTGTGTGGATGCCATGGTCTCCATACCTTTGAAGCGAGGTGGTTTGCTACTAAGCAGTCGAGACCTCTCATGATATCCACCACACAGACGGTTTGAAATCGTCATTTCGACTTCTTCAATCGCAGCTGTTTCATCCCATGGCC